CAAATCCAACTGTAAAACCAACTGATTTTTGCTTGGATCCTTAACTTTTCACTTGCTGGTGTCAAGTTTCTTTGATTGTTAATGTATGAATAAGCCTTAACCCTCCATGCAGGTGAATTGGGATCTTAAGTTCTTCCAAACCCAACAGAAACCACAGCATTCCCTGCTGCTCAGGTTTGTCTTAGGCTTCCTTCTCACACTGGGGGAGGTTTCAAATTCCATTTGATTTCCTACTCCTCCAATTGCTCTCCTAGGATTTACAACTAGCTTCAGACTCAGAGAGAGAAAGGTCCACTTGCTCTCACTCTCTCCTCCCCCAACTACCTCCTTAACAAATTCTCTCTTGCAACAAGTCCCCCCCCAACTCCGTCCCAGATGTCCACTGTTGTTAAGCGCTTTGCCAAGCACAAGTCACTTTGAACAGCAGTAGATTTCTACCATCCACATTCCTGGCAAATTCTTAGCCTTTCGGGTGGGTCCCAGTTGAAGCAGATAACATTTACTTTGACATAAGCCTGTAATAATTGTTTATCCTCAACACACCCTTCCCTCCCACCCACATTCCTTCAAACAATTTGTGGACTTCTTCACACCTATTTTCTCAAAATCAACACAAAGCGCTTGGGGCTAAGGAAAGAGTTTTCCAAAAATACAATATGACAAATGTATAGCTGCACATGGTAGGCACACAGCTTCCTTATCATCTCTATCCACAAGTTTTGCCAGTTTTTGTAAAGCTTCCAAAAATTACTGCATCCATTTGACTTGAACAAAGGTCATTGGTGTGTACTACCCTACAAGCAATGATGGCAATATCATACCGCTTTCAGTTCTTTTAAAAATATTTATTGTCTGTCTTCAGATTTGCACATCAGATTTGAAATGGTTTGGAAGTATACTGAATACAAATCTTGTCATATATATGCATGAAAATTATTGTACAGTCATCCCTCTGTATCCATGGATTCAAGCATCCATGGCTTGAAAATATTTTAAAAAATATAAATTCCAAAAACAAACCTTGATTTTGCTATTTTATATAAGGGACACCATTTTACTATCCATTGTATTTAATGGGATTTGAACATCCATGGATTTTGGTATCCACAGGTGGTCCTGGAACCAAATCCCAGCAGATACCAAGGCCCCACTATACTAAGAATCATCCCAGTCAAACTATGTTTGTACCATCAAAACTGCAAGAAAAAGTAGTACTAGTACTTCTCTAGTGCTATACATACTTCCTAATTAATACTACCTCAGTTTCTTAGAAAGCTGACTTTCCTTTATGCATGTGTTTTGGACAGCTATTAGACAAAATATATATATATTTAATATCAATTGCTGGAAGGCTGGTTAAACCATCCATCTTTTGTACCAATCAAATCTTAAGAAGTTCTATGAGCATCCCTATAAGCAGGGATCTCGAGATTAAGAAAATGAACTAGAGTATTTGTGGTTTGCTTCAATAGGTACTGTTAAGTCAAGCCAGTGTGCCACGGCCCCCAGAAATAATAAATGGATAACAACACTGGCCCATTTTGCACTGTTGCTTCAAGAGGGTGAAGAGTTTGAGCATTTAGGGAAAGGAGGATACCAATATTGTTGTTGTTGTCTCAAGTTTCTTCCTACTTTGTTGTTGTTGTGTGCCTCCAAGTTGATCCTAAGGCGATCCTAAGGCAAACCTATCATAGGGTTTTCCTGGCAAGCTTCTTCAGAGAGGGTTTGCCATTGCCATCCTCTGATGCTGAGAGAATGTGGCTTGCCCAAGATCACCCAGTGGGTTTCCATGGCCAAGCAGAGATTTGGACCCTGGTCTCCAGAGTCATAGTCCTACATATGCTGGATTGGAAAAAATAAATTGGCTCATTTCAATTTATTGGCCCTGAGAGGGGTATTAGTTAATAGTAATACTAATATTTAATATATCAATGTTGTTGCTGTTGTTGTTTGCCTACAAGTCATTTATGACTTATGGCGACCCCAAGGCAAACCTGTCAAGGGATTTTCTTGGCAATATTTGTTCAGATGGGGGTTGTCTTTGCCTTACTCTAAAGCTGAGAGGGTGTGACTTGCCCAAGGTCACCCAGTGGGTTTCCATGGCTGAGCAGGGATGTGAACCTGGTCTCCAAGTCCAGGGCAAGTCACATGCTCTCAGCTTCAGGAGTAGGCAATGGCAAATCTCCTCTGAATAAATCTTGCCAAGAAAACCCCATGATAGGGTCACCTTAGGGTCGCCATAAGTCCGGAACAACAACAACAACAACAACAACAACAACAGTCAGTTGAGATAGCCAGCTTAGCAAGAGAGTTGTCTGTACCAAAATATATTGAGAGGCGGAAGGAATAGGTAACTGCATCCCATCTTAAAATAGAAAAGCAACTCTGCTGTTTAGTCAAAGTTGCTTTTAAAAAAATAAAGCTTAGTTACTCTTCTCAAAAGTTTGCTTTATAAATGCAGAGCAAACATGTGCCCAAGTGTGCAAACAGGCACAAACACACACATGCAAGACACTTCCTTTCAAAGCTTTGAGGTGTCTGTCCCATTAGCTGAGAATAATTCACCAGCGACAAATAAACTTGGAGATAACACATAAGGAGAAGGAGGAGGTGGCAGTGGATTTTAAACAAAAAAAACAAGTTGAGAGAGGTAGAGAATGCAAGGCATCAAGGAACTGGGAAAACCACCTCTGAGGATGTCTTGCCTAAGAAAACCCTATGAAATTAATGGGATCACCATAAAAGTTGACAAGCAACTTGAACACACACTGGAGTTGGAGAAGAAAACAAAGATCTGATTCTTTTAAAGTTTTAAAGACCAGAGAACATGCCTGTTTTAACTCATTAACAGCCCCATTATCTTTGTGTTAACTCAGGTCTCATCTGCACTGCAGAAGTAATGCAGTTTGACACCGCTTTAACTGCCATGGTTCCATGCTATGGAATTCTGGAATTTGTAGTTTTGTGAAATATTTAGCCTTCTCTGTCAGAGAGATCTGGTCCTGCAACAAGCTACAAATCCCAAGATTCCATACCAGTGAAAGCTGTGTCAAACTGAATGATTTTTCGCACTGCAGGAGCAAATCCCACTGTGATCAATAGAGGCTGGAGTTATGCCCTGGAAAGAAAATACATGATGATAATCAGCCTTTATCTGGTGTAGAGATGCATGGTTGATGGTACAAAGAGGCACACTGTGAACAACAAACATCCCAAACCCACAAAATACTTTCATGTATTTTGTGCATATTGGTTGGCCCCATAAAGGTATTATTGTTGCACTGATCTGGGATGTTATTGTCCTTGACTATATAGCCAATATGGATATATTTTGTGAACGATGATGATGTTGATGATGCAAAAGAAGTGAGAGCCAGGGGCCTCATGAAAACCAAGGTGGTGTAGTGCTTTGTGCAGCGGACTATGTCTCTGGAGACCAAGGTTCAAATGCTGGCTTGACCACAGAAACCTTGGGCAAGCCACACTCTCTCAGCCTCAGAGGATGGCAACGGCAAACCCCTTCTGAAGAAAACATATCCAGCGGTAGCAGTGTTGGCCATGTAGCAAAGTACAGTAACATCCAAAATCCACAAAACAGTGATACCTTTATTGGCCATTCAAAATGCACAAAATGTATGTTGCAAGCATTCACTGTTTTATGGATTTTGGAAGTTATTGTACACTTTTGAAGAAACTTGCCAAGAAAATTTCATGATAGTCTTAGGGTTGGAAACAACTTGAAGGCACACAACAACAACTACAACTCTCAGAATCCCCCCTGTCAGCCACCTCTTTCAACTTATTTTTATCCACAGCCATCCTCTCCGCTTGTATGTGTTATTTCCAAGTTTATTTGGAACTTATGAATTATTCTCAGCTAATAGGACAGACACCTAAAAGCACTGAAAGAAAGAGTCTTGCCTGTGTGTGTTTCTGTGCCGATTTGCACACTCAGGCACATGTTGGCTCTGCACTTCTAAAGCAAATTTTTGAGAAGAGTAATGGAGCTTTTTTCATAAACAGGGAACTTATATTAAACAGCAGTGTCACCTTTCTGTTTCAAGATGGGATGCAGTTATTTATCCCTTCCGCTTCTCAATACCTTTTGATACAGACACATCTCTGGCTACAACAACAGAGTGTGATGTAGTGGTTTGAGCGTTGGACTAGGAGACTGGAGACCAGCGTTCGAATCCCAGTTTAGCCATGTAAACCTGCTGGGTGACCTTGGGCAAGTCACACTCTCTCAGCCTCAGAGGATGGTCATGGCAAACCCCCTCCGAAGAAACCTGCCAAGAAAACCCTGTGATAAGTCCACCGTAGGGTTGCCATAAGTTGGAAAAGACTTGAAGGCACACAACAACAAAACCTACTCTAAACAGCAGTCTCACCTTTCTATTTTAAGATGGGGCGCAGTTATTTTGTATTCCTTCTGCTTCTCACTACATTTTGATACAGACCAATCCTTTGCTGATCCTTTGCTATTCTCAACCTGACTGTCAGTTCGAGGAGGAAAAATGGATCACCTTGACATTTGTTGTTGTTGTGTGCCTTCATGTTGTTTCCAACTTATGGCGACTCTAAGGCAAACCAATCATGGGGTTTTCTTAGCAAGATTGTTCAGAGGAGGTTAGCCATTGCCCTCCTCTGAGGCTGAGAGTATGTGACCTGTCCAAGGTCACCTAGTGGGTTTCCATGGCTGAGCCAACACCTTAACATACCTGGTCAGAAACCCAGAAAAATTAGGGTGGGGAATAGATAGCATGGTATATAGTCCTTTGAGTGCTGGACTATGACTCTCGAGACAAGGGTTTGAATCCTGGCTCAGGATGACTTTGGGCTAGTCACGCTATCTCAGCCTTGCCAATTGCAAACCCCTCTGAAGAAACTTGCCAAGAAAAACCTGTGATAGGGTTGCCATAAGTCGGAAACGACTTGAAGACACACAACAATAACAACAAAAATAGGTATCCTTGCCACAATAACAAGAAGGCTGGATAGGTAGCATGGTGTAGTGGTTTGAGTGCTGGACTATGGCTCTGGAGACCAGGGTTCGGATCCCAGCTGAGCCATGGAAACTCACTGAGTGAGCTTGGTCAAGTCACACTCTCTCAGCCTCAGAGGCTGGCCATGGAAACATGCCAAGAAAACCCTGTGATAGGGTCGCCATAAATCAGAAACGACTTGGAGGCACACAACAAGAGAAACAGAATTCAAAGATTGGTCTGTAGAATCAGTACGTAGAGCAGGGGTAGGCAACCTTTCCCCTTTAAGGGCCGAGGGACTTCAGCTCCCAGAATCCCAGGAGCTATTGGCCAACATGGGACTATTGGCCAACATGGCTGAGGCTTCTGGGAGCTGAAGTCCCTCGGCCTTAAAGGGGAAAGGTTGTCTACCCCTGACGTAGAGAGATCTTGTACCACCTTTGAGTCTAACTGAAAGAAAGTAGTTGGCAGCATGAGATTTCCTAGACTTCAGACTCCTTTAAATGCATCTGAGGAAGTAGACTGAAGCCTGGGAAGGCTCGTGCTGCCAACTTCTTTCTTTCCATTAGCCTCAACGGTGCTCCAAGAACAGAAATAAGCATCCTTGCTCCGACGACGCCAACAAGGAGGGCTGACTGGGAAATACTGTTAACTTTGATATGAAATCTTAATGCAGTGTATGGAGGAGTATGAAACCTGCGAGCCGCCTTGGGCCCCTCCTGGGAGAAAGGCGGCCTGCAAACGGAATGCAAGGAGAGAAAGCTCGATCTATCTATATACCTGGATGGTCTGGTTGGGCTCTGCTCCGGCCAGCGGCCCTCCGACCAGCTTGCAGTACAAGTCCTCCACTGGCCTGGGGGCTTGGCTTTGGGGCCCGGATTCCTCCTGGCCACAGGTTGCCGAAGCTGAGATCTGGGTGCCCTCGGCCAGGTTGAAGTACGGCGGGTGCAGACTGTGTCCGTTGACGTCCGGATGGAAGGAGACCGGCTGCCCCTCGGAGCTGGAAGGCAGCAGGAGCAGGAGCAGAGGCAGAGGCAGGAGGAGCCCCCTCGCCATCGCCAGGGATGCGGAGAGAAAGGCAGGCAGGCAGGCAGGATCCCGAAGGCTGGGAGTGGGAGGGAAGAGCGGGGGATCGCTGGGGCCAGGAAGGAAGCGACCCGGGGGGGTCTCTAGAGGAAAGGGTGCTCCAGCTTCCCCCCAAAATCCATGGCCCGGGAGGCAGAGGGGGCAGCGGGAGAGAGGGAAGAGGAAGCGGCGGCAATGGGGAAGAAGGAGCCGGGAGCGCAACCGGGGCTGCTTGCTCGCCTCTGCGGCCGCGGGGGGAGTCTCTGGGGCTTTTGCAAGCTCTCCTCCTCCTCCTGCGTCTCTTTTTCCTCGGACAGCGGCTGCCCCCAAAGGGAGGGATCGCAGGCAGGGAAGGAGGAGCCCCGGCGGGGATTATTCATGCTCTGATTCGGGCCATTGTCTTCGGGGCCGCCCGCTCTGGCCGCTTTCCCAGCCCTCCTGGGCGGCCTTCGCTTAACCCCCTCTCGC